ATAGATAGATAGATAGATAGATAGATAGATAGATAGATAGATAGATAGATAGCTTGGTCCCTGTATTGATTTTTTTTTACATCACTTTACAATTTAAGGGAAAAAGTATTATGAATTTAGCTTTTATTCAAAATTAAATAAGCAAAAGCAAAAATTTTAAGAAACTTGTACAAATTACTTACATAAAAGAAAGTTAATAGAGACAGTCACAAATCTGCAACAAATAATTACCAAAGGGTAGGGCAGCATGGGTATAACCATGTCACAGCACGGTACTCTAACTGTGATATGAATAAGGCATAACTAACATTGGCACCAAGACCAGAGTAAAAACAAAACAAACCTTACAAGCTTAGTTCTACATTAAGCGCCTCCTCCCCCAGATCCTCGACGGATTTATACACTACCTAATTCCTTAAATACAAGTTATCATGTCAAACTCTAAATGACAGAGACGGGCAGTTAATGTGAAAAGCCCCCTAGAATGTACAAGCTAACTGGGTGAACCGAGTTCTCCATCTACCTTTATGTACATTGTAATGTAAACCATATTTTCACAGTTTTAAGTGTTTTATGAATGGATGCACAGTACCATGTCAGGTCTGCAGTTGTTCCTGGAGACTGGCTCTAGATTCTACATCCCTGCCTGCCGGCCATGGGGATGCAAGTATTTACATAAATAAGAAACTGTGTCATAGTCAATGGCCAGGACAGTTCAGCAAGAGCAGGATTTCCAACAACAAAAACTGATACTCTGTACCATAGTGTATATACTTGTGCAAATAGAAGCATCGGGACAAAGAAATCTGAGGCAAATTCGATCTGCGAAAACTCCTATGACTACCGTTGTAAACGTGGGCAATAGAGGACCCTCAGCAAGTTCACTCTCTATGGCTTTTTTTTTGTCTTTTAAAATTTAAAGCCAGAGTAAAAGCACACACACTACCCATACAAACACACATATGCACGCACGCTTGCATTCACACAGGCACACACACACACACGCACGCACACACACATCATCCACACACGGAGTACTTAGTTCAATTAGATTAGCATACATAGTGCAACTTCATCACAACGTAGAGGTTTAACACACATTCAGTGTGTGTTTTCTGTGCAAGTTCTTAGTGGTCTAGGACCCAGTGGAAGGTATTCATTTGCAGATCCACGAGATTCAGGAGGCTGAAGAACAAGAGTTTCCTTAATTCCTACACCAGCACTGGGTGTGCAAAGGCAGCGGACAATCTGGCCATCGACGGAGCCAGATTAGGGTGACTTTAAAATGAAATCCAACCACTCTCAGCCTTGGGGCTAAGAGCAAGCTAAGGAAGATCCAAGCAGTTCGTTACTTAGATTGGTCTCTAGAAAAGTAAGTCAGGATATGCTGTATCTTTGTCAGCCGCTCTTCCAGAGACTTCATTGACAGTACGGAGAGCTGATACCGAGGGTCTACAGGAAGGACTGCCAGCAGCCACCAACACCACGCAGGCCCATTGGGGGTCGCCTAAAACCAACCAAACAGTTCACAGCGTTAAGAGCATGTGATAGTAAATACTACAAAGTCAGCATGCCAGGTGCTACCAAGTCTCTGAATCATCTAAGGCAGGGGATTATTGAGCCCATAGACACTGAGGAACTAAAGCTGGGAACTGGGATGTAATCACCCATGGTCTCTCCGCTCCCAAACTATGGAGTCAGGATTTTAATCCAGCCCTGACTCCGCAGCCAATGGTTTCCTTTGTCACTGCAAGATCAGGCTCGGAGCCTCAGGTTGCTGCCATTTGGGGCCTGGGGACCCTTTGCTGTGAGCCACAGTCCTGACCCTGCAGTCCTTCAGCAGGTTACCTGTGACTTCCACCTACTGGACACCAACAGCAGCTCAGTTCTAGCAGTCAGCATGTCTCCAGTGCTGCCCAGTGCCTCACTCGGCCAAACCTGGGAATTTACAGCACTGCAGGAAGCTAATTGATACTTGAAATTTTTATTCAAAAATTAGAATCCTGAAAAAGAAAAAAAACTTGGCTTCCCAATTTGAAAGATTAGCGTGTCTCTGGCAAGGCAGTTCCTGTACATTTCAGGAGCAGCCGCCAAAACAACACATTTAAGCAACAGGATTTGAAAGCCTTCCTATTACTCACTGTGCTGGTGTTCACAAAGCAGAGACACCAACTTTCAGAACAAAGGAACCATGACAGTGCGGACGGGATGGCTCCATTTATTGGCTGCTCTCAACTTGGCTTCAGGTCTATGTCCTTCTACATCCCAGACAACATTTCCCAGAACCCTATGCTCCACATATCTCCAGGTGAGACTCAAGCAGGCCAATGGCACTCTTAGCACAAGCCAAAACTGGAAAAAGAGGTCATTATTCTCTAGAAACTCTTCCAAAGTGTGTGTGTAGGGGGCGGCATACCAGAGAATTCTAGAAAACCACCCACTCCACTGATGCTGACGGACAATGGGCACTCACTGGAGTCCTCAAACTGTAGCACTTTCCTTACAAGTTTGTGTGAAGCCCGGGGCTCTGCCATTCCAGATGAATCACTGTGACACTGTGTGACCTCTGGTGTCGTTACCACTGACCTCTCTCCTCCAGTCTCCGACGGCTGTATTAACTGTGCATCATACAGCGCTCTCATTCCCGGACTCCACTCAGTGGCTGCCTTGTTTCCCTGACTCCTAAGCTGTCATTACTGGAAACCAGTGGCAGTGACAAAAGTGAGGGCAATGGGGAAATACCACCAGATCTTTAAAAAAGTTACTTTCTAAAGATTTTAAATGTACTTTGCTACTTTGTCTTATGAGAGCCATTTCTATACTGTTTAGCCAGATTCAACACCAAAATGGGCAAAGACAAGGCATAACACTGAACACAGCATGGGTCCTGTCCTCAGATGAAGAGAGAGTCACTGGGATTTGACAGGCTCAGACCAACCTTTGAAGAACGGAAGGAGAGATGGTGCCTCACAAGGGATCTATTATTGTTTGATCTTCAGATGTTTACATTATTCCACTATGGCATTATTATCTTCTAACCATAAATATGCTGATTCAATTCAAAATGCTGTGCCTAACACTGGTTCCTTGTGGGTCTGTGATTGGATTTCCCAAGGTCGGGAACTCCTCATGGTGTTTGCAATTGCTCCCATAGAACTCCATGCATGGAGGGTACCTGATCACATCACTCGTTAGGTTCAGCTTTACATAAACCCCAGTACTTGAGGGGACCCCAAGAAAGACAGTTATGGTAACAGAAATGTCAAACACAGACAGACAAGAGGGACTTGAAGTGGTGAATAGGACATAGGGATAAAAGGAGAGGTGAGAAGATTTTCTGTAAGATGGAAAAACCATATATTTCTCAACGGTCAAAATGGCAGTTGATGGCTTGGAGGTGCAGCGGCCTCGCAGTCGCAGTTTAATGGAGGCGAATGTCCTACCTGAAAGCCCTCATCACTCTGGAAGTCCTCACACAGCCCGCCCCCCCCCCCCCGCCGCAGCCCTCTCTCCTGGAGGCATCCTTGTATATAGTGGATATCGGTGCTCTACAGAATATCCTCGTAATTTGAAAGATGGGATCAAAGAAAATAACACAAGGAGATGTGTAAAGTTATTCATTAGGTTTATGAAAAAGTAAGACCATCAGAAGCAACATCTTACCTGGAGGTTTTCCTCCCTCTCAGGCATTGATCCAAAGTGTTGAAGGATTTGGCTTCGAAATCTGTCTCTTAAATTCTGAAACCAGCTACAGGCTTGCGAGTATACCAGGTCATGAAGCTCTCTCAGACTCTGGATTTCATCTCCATTCTCAATCTAGAAAGAATGGCGGGTAAGATCTCTGGGTCCAATTTTCCAGCCCTTATCATCAACCACACAGAACACAAAAAAGCACCGACAAACAGGACTGGCCACACCAGCGCCGGATTGTCACGTGACAGACAGCCTCACGCAATAACAGCTGGTGTTTCTGCCCTACAGAGTCCTACTGGGAGTCACCGGGAAGAGTGTGGCTTGATCTCCACCGAGAGCAGGCAGCAGCCTGACAGTCGGAGAAGAACCAAGTGTGGTGGACAATGAGGTCTGGTTCGAAGGGCTGCACAGATTTGGAGTAAAACAGTCACTACAATAAGAAGAAAAATGGCTTGCCAAGGGACATGGCAGAAGGCAGTATTAGGAGAGCAGCCACAAACACATCTTTTACCAGAGAACTGGGTCAAAACACTAACAAAAAGCAGCAAAAATACTTGCCCCAAAATTGGCAAACCAAAAGGCAGAGAACAGAGTATACAATTTTCAGCTTCTGGCATAAAAACTGTAGGTCTCTCCACGAACTCCTCCACGAACCCTTTACACCCCAGATGGTGAGTGTAAGATGAAAGGCATCTTCAGCCAGGAGACTCACAGAACACAGGTGGACAGGCAAGGAACTCATGCATTTTTATAGGCTCTTCCACGCTCCTGTCCCACTGGCTGTGTGCCTGGATGGGCTCTGTTATGGCACATTAATTCATCCGAACAAATAGCAAGCAGGTGCCTGCAAGACAGTTTGCTGGGTAAAGGGGCATGCTGCAGAAACTGCCAACCTGGTTGGGGACCCACATGGTGAAAAAGAGAACAGACTTCTAAAAGTTGTCCTCTGAACCTCACACGAGCACCACAGCACATGAGTGCCCCTGTCCCCACACCAGGTGAATGAATGAATGAATGAATGAATGTAATATTTTTAAAAAGCAGAATGACTCAGACTTTCACGTCTCCAAGGATGACTAACACAAAACAAAGGAACTCAGGAAGGTTTTGAAATACAAAAGACACAAGACATAAAAGGCCACTCATTTGACTTCCGAAGAAACTAAAATAAAACTTGAAACTCAGCATTAAAATCAGTCATGATTTGTATGGCACGATAGATCCATGAGCTGTGCTTGACATGTTAAAATGGTAGAGAGCTGTGTGTCTGAGAGAAAAACAAACTCAGCCAAGAGGCAAACAGAAATTTCAAAAGCAAGCTTTTTTAAGGTTAAGGACATTGTTACAACAATTAAATAGAGCTTAAAATTTCATTAGACATTACAGAAAATAGAATTACTACCACAAAAAGAAAAGGTAAATAATAAAATTGAGATCTTTCAGAACAGAACAGACAAAAACAAAAGCAAAAAGTCAAAACATATGAAAGGGTGAAAAGAATCCCTAGACATTGTTATGGCCAAAGCCAAGAGCCCTGTCTCCAAAGCATGGCAGCAGTTTCTAAACACATTTCCAATACATTACTCTCCTAGATATGAGCTTTCAGCCATATATATTCAGTTATATACACAAGGGACTTTTTCATCAAATGTGATATATCATTATGCAAATTTACCTAAAATTAAAATAAGCTCAAAAGTTTTACAAAGAACACTGTCTTTGTAAACAATTCCATCAGCTGAGCATTCTAAGACAAGGATTATCAATCAATTTTTAATTCATTCAAGATTCTTCCCTAACTGACAGAGCAAAGCATCCCCCATAACATCTATCTGTGTTTGTTTGAGGCAGGGTCTACGTAGCCCCATCTGTCCTGGAGCTCACTCTGTAGACCAGGCTGGCCTCAGACTCAGAGACCCGCCTGCCTCTGCCTCCTCCTGCACAACATCTTTCTAAGAGAGAACAGGCGACACCGGGCCAGTCAAGTCTGTCACCAGAGAGGCCGTCAGCATAGCATAGCGCAAGGACAAGACACAGCACTTGGAGTCAGTCAGCCGTCAGTCACTTCTGATACACATCCTAGATCCCTGGCAAACAAAGAGCTCCCGCTTCGTCTCTCTCGCTGCTAACTGAAAACTCCATGGACTCTCTGTGAGGGTGCCCAAGCCCAAGAGTCAAGAAATGTCGACTGAAATGAAGGGCCAAAATGGATCAGTGAATAGTGACAACGTAAGAACTATGTTTTATCCTGCCTTTCCCATAGAAACCGCTTCAACTCGATACAATTCCAGTTTGGTAAACTAGGTCCTGACAAGATTGAGCGGCCACATCGACCCGATAGAAAAGTGCCAGTCACTATAACCTTCCTTAGGAAAGCTATCAGCAGCACATACACACTGCCAGTGTCTTACTAGGACATCCTACCATTCTAAAGTAGCAGCCAGTTGTATTTATTTTTATAATTAAGATTGTTCCTGACACAGGAAAAATCCCAACACACAGCACAATCATGAAAGAATCTTGTGACTAATTTTAGTCTATGAAAGATAATAATTTTAATTATTAATGAATCAAATGAAATAAGGTAAAGGCAAACTTAAAACTTCGATGAGCTATAAGTTCAAATTAGTCAACTGCTACTGTTAAGTGGTTACTGTGAGCACAGTACTGCCTGGGATGCCTGGGACATGAGGAGGCTGCAGATTCTCATCCCCACGTTCTCCTGAACGAGCAGATGACTCAAGATCAAGATAAAGGAAAGGCAACTGGAGCTAATCCTCAAGAGCAGCAATGATGACTAGAAGAACCGGTTCCTGCGCCTAGAAAACCTCCCCTGCATGTAGGTACCAAGCCCTAGGATGCAGGAGCCCAGAACACACCCGAGAAAGAACATTTTCAATACCTTAACATCTTCCAGATACTCAATGTCTGCAGTGCAGTAGCCATCTTTCATTCCTCTCTTTAAGACTCTGAACCGCTTTCCTCCAACCGTGTCAACCACAGACCTTCCGTCAGGTAAGAAATGCACATTTCGAATTTGTAACATACAACCGTAATCTGCAAAACTAAAAGAAAACCAGTGTTTGAGCAAATGTGTGTGCAGCCTCATCCAGACACAAAGAAAGATCCAGTGGAAACAAAGATGTCAAAGGTCGCAAAGAATCTGCCTACCTGTTTTGTGTATCACTGACACACATCCCGAACTGCTTGGTTCCAGTCTGGATGCTTCTTCGAATCATGAGCCTGTATCTGGGCTCAAATACATGGAGAGGGCAAGGCACAGTGGGATAGGCCATAGTGCAAACAAATATTGGGACATTCTTGGTCAAGCTGAAAGAAAAGCAGTTTCATTGTTATAGGCCAAATCAAACGGCAAAAATATACCAGGCTTACAACCGTAAAAAAACTGATGCAAAAACAATAGCAAGATCTAGAACGCATGTGCCCTGCATTCCTGGCTAGAACAGGAGGCAGCTCCCCTTCCTCAAGTTCACACTGCCGCGTCTCTGTTCCTCTCATTTATAGGCTTGAATCCTAAAACAGTGGGTACCATATAGAACTAACTATTTTAAGAATCAAGAGGAAATTTATCATAACTAACATTGTACATTGAGAACTTGTTTCAAAATACTTCCAACCCAGGACAGAGTTACAGCTCTTATCACAGAACATTGAGAAGAAAATGGGCTCCTAAAATGGACAAAATTCTTAAGCATGGTGTTTTCCAGCCATCAACAGAGATAACTAGATAAAATAATGTTCTGTCAGGTACCTTAAATGACGGTCACCTTTCTCCTCCCAGACTGTGAACAGTAAGAGGGGCAAAGGGCAATGCCTGGGTGGCAAGGATGAGAAAGCCTGGCCTTGTGGGGGCAGCGGAAAAAGATATGCACATCCAAGGTAGGAGATGTTCATTTTTCTTTGGATCAAGGATTGTCTTTTTAGAAACCCTATAGATGCAGAAAAGGATATTCACAGCAGCACTGTGGGGAGTGACTGGAAGCTGGCAGCTGGAAGAGGAGACCGTAGAGTATAGGGCAAAGCATGGGGTGGCCAAAGATGGAGGGCCAGGCTGCCGACTAGGAGGCCCAGGCTGCACACACTACAGTGTGGCTGGCATTGTAGAGGAGAGGAAGGGATATTGCAGCCAGCAAGGTCCCGTGAAGTAAGTGTCTGCTCTGGTAAGGTCATGGAGGGTGCATTCCACAACTATAGCTTTGCTTCCTTCCACTCCCTTTACATATTGCTGCCACGTGACCACTAATGACCTAAGGACACGCGATGCTTAACAGGAAAGCTCAGTTAAAAAAACAGCCCTGCTAGCAAGCACGGATGTCCCCAGCTTCTCGCCACCACTCTCAGCCTTTCACTTGCTGCTTCTGCCACTTCCTGACTTTCTCCTAAGGGCGGGCTGGCTGCACAGACTCAGATCTGTAGTGTTACTTCAGCTCTCTAATCTAGGCTTCTCGCTGAGTATCAAAAGGAGGCAGAGTTTTCATCTCAATATCTTCTATCATAAAACTACATAATAAAACATCAGCTTCGTGGGAGGACAAATCACTGACGGGCTGTAAAAGAGAGCTAGGAGCTTTTGTGCCGAGAGCCACTAGCCTGGGAAGACTTCCATGGGCACACTTGGGAAAATACAGGGCACATGCATAATTCCTTCTGTTTTCAGACTGAGAAATCCAGCATGTTCTACTTGTGTTTTGAAGAACAATAGAAGCAAACAGTCGCTCAGCAATAACAGCACACAAAACTTAGTAGTGCTCTTCAGTGTTTAGTCAAGAGAAGTGAAGGAAAGAGTTAAGAAATTAAAAATCCAGCAAAGAAATTCAAAGACCCAAGATCAAAACAGCAAAAATATTCAGGGGAAGAGGGAAAAGAGAAGGAAGAAAGAGTACCCGGCAGCAGAGCGGGCAAACGTACCCAGCTCGCGGCGGTCCATGGCAGTGGGGACAGCTACGAGCACCCCAGAGTCGCCTCTGGGTGTTTCCTCGTCCTCCTGCCAACCAGCATGCTCTGCCGGCTGCCATCTCTGCTGAGGCTTCCCTTCATGTTTTATTCCCACCCCATTCCAAGTCTCTAGCCCCATGGTTCTCAGCCTTAGAAAGGGTGAGAACCACGGCTCTAGCCTGTTAACATGGCTGCTAATGTGGGCAGATGTTCCTCCTGCTCTGGGATGTGGGAAACCAGTTCCCATCTGCCTTACCTAGTTCACCTCTACCCTCCTCCACCGCCTGCTGTCAGGGCAGGAAATCCCTCCATAACCTCTAACATTGCTTCACTCCACAGAGCTGCAGCATTGACTCCCCGCACAACACCTGGACTCTCCTGATCGCGCTTCCTCTATCTCGTCTACTCAGGGCAGGAACCCCGATCAATGGTTACGATACACCTCTGCGCAAGACTGGCTGGCTGAATCCTGCTCATTCAGGAAGGGCTCTCTCGCTGTTTTCATGATCTCAGCTAATTTAATAAGAGACTTACTGTGAGAGCTCGGCCGTTTCTTCATCGTAGATTTTCTTCCTCTCAGACAGCTCGTCCGGAAGATACTTCACTATTAACTCTTCCAACAGCTGTGTGACACAGTACCTCCTGTCCGCGAGATACTGAAAGACAGAATTACTTCACACTCCAGCAGATGCTTGTCAACTGTATAAAGCAGGTAAGAGTTTAACAGAGATCAAAGCCTCTGGTATGAACGGACGCACTCGAGTCTGACTGCATTTAATCAGTGAGGGGAGCCCTGCAGTTCGTGCAGCTACACAGGAAACCTGCCCGGGCCGCTGCTCCAGTGCCAAAGACTGGAGACGCAGCTAGAACCAAGCTCCTGGGTAGAAACTGCCCTGCTAGGAGTTTTATTGGCAGCAGCCAGCCTGGCCCCTGCCATCTCCCACAACACACGCCAATTTCTAAGAAGTAAAAGGAAGATGTGGTGAAGAAATTAATGCACTTGTCTTGTTTCAGAAACTCAGAACAATTCTTGTTTTGTCTGCTTTCAAAGATGAAGCCTCTACATCGCTTTTGTTGTTGGGAGTGCTGCTTGCTGCCGTGAGATACGGTCTCACTGTGTAGTACAGGCTGGCCTCGAACTTGAGGCTCTCCTGCCTCAGCTACCCAAGTGCTGGGATTAGGAGCTACTAATCAACTAACCACTACTACTCAACCCTTTTAATTTTTCTCCTATGTTTCCCTTAGGTCTTCATCAGGATGCCGCTTTTCCTGTATGATTGTCCCCGCACAAATGGTCCATGTGTACTCAGCTCTCAACACTCTGAAAAGCTGCTATCCACATGTAACATATATCAATGCTGATATACTGATTAAAAAAAAATCCACCTCACTCCTGTCTATATGAAAGCTTTCTCGGGTCAGGATCCGACTACGTGTTTACGACATCTTCTTTAATTACTCTTTAACTTACACTGGATTTTACTGTTTTTACCACAATAAAGGGTCACGGCCACACCTATACTGTACCATATGGATACAGATACATAAATCTCTATAATTAAACTAAAAGTTACTTAAGATCAGGGACAAGTTCAGAGTATGCAGACAAAAAATACACGTCTTAAATACAAGTAGTTAGAGAGAACTCAGTAGGAAAGTCACAAAAGAGAAGTCAGCTTCAATCTGTCAAGCCAACGGAAACAGCAGTTCTGTCCAGGGAAGAACACGGTGGGAACACAAGGGTCCGGGCAGGAGCTATGGAAGCAGGCTTCAGGGCTGACTAGGAAACAGACCGCTAGACACACGCAAGGATTCTGACTTAGGCAGTGTGGTGCAGAGTCTGAGAATCAGGTCCAGCAAGGTCTCAGATGACACAGGAGCGGATCAGTGGACACACTGGAAGAGGTGCTCCATCTCCACTGGCGAGGAGGACCTGAGCAGTCTCCCATTAGACCACGCGGCTAGACATTAGTCTCCTGTTGTCATGAGACTAAACACATCACAGACTTTGTGAGAGCAGTCTTCTTACTACATTTTGTTAAGTTAATAAGGGTTCTGACAGCTGATGAAATAGTGTCCTATGGCCCTGGGAGGAGTTCAAATATGTGCAGCAGTCACAGGGACTAGACAGTCCGACCAGTGGTTTTTAGGAGTGTTGTGAAAATATAGCCATGGATGCAGTGGTTCACCTCCGAAAAACTTAGCTGTCGAATAGTTACAGTCATTTTGTCACCAAAGACAAATATTTCTAAATGAAAGCAATGTATTGAATAGGTAACTTGAAAATAAGAGAACTATAGTACAGATCATCTAAACTCTGGGAAAAATAGCATATTTAGCATAGTTTATCTCAAAACACAAGAAGCTGTTATAACTGGTGAACCCTTCTTAGATTGCTTGACTTTGAAAACACTGTATATGGGGGTGTGTGTACAGGTGTGCGTGTGTGTGTGTGTGTGTGTGTGTACATATATGTGCTTGTGTCTGTTTTCAGCATACCAGCTTGCTATGTAAGGCACATATCAAATGTAGCAACACATACCACTGTGTTTTCCACACAGGTATTTTTTATACAGAAAATAACTACATTCAAAAAGGTTTTATCCATGTCTGAGTTCACTGGTGGAGGACACTTTTCTCTGAACAGGACACAGGGAGGCATGTTCCCATGGGTGCGCCCACTGAAGTTGCTACATAGCACCATGAGGCTTAAGCCCACTTTGCTGATCCTAATGGAGAGGGTGCCAGGGGACTGCCCCCACCTTTCCCATCACAGGGTCCTAGTGCTGACCTCTGGCTCTGAGTTAATGGAGTGCTTCCTGCTTTCTTCTACCCCACCACTGCTCAGAGCTGCTCTGCCTAGTGCAATAAACACTGGCCACCATGCCTCAGGTTTTAGTTCATAAAACAAAATGAAAACCAGTCCCACGGCCACTCGAGCCACCAGTTAAGTGCTTCACTAGCCACATGTGGCCGGTGGCCACCAAACTGGATAGGAAAGCTGGACCATTTCTACACGCAGAAGGCTGTACAGGACAGTTGCTCCAGGTGATAAGAGCTCTGGAACAGGCCCCCAGTCTGGATGAGACGCAGGCCAGCAGAATTTCCCCTAATGGTGTCATCATTAAAACCTAACCTTCCCCTGACCAGGCAACTGAACGGGCTTAGTCTTTAGTCTCTTCCCAACTCTCAATTTCTCTTTTCCTAAACAACATGGGTGTCCTAGTCAGGGTTTCCATTGCTGTGACCAAACACCATGATCAAAAACCAAGTTGGGGAGGCAAGGATTTATTTGGCTTACACTTCCACATTGTTGTTCATACTGAAGGAAGTCAGGACAGGAACTCAAATCAACTCCTGCAGATGCAGAAGCCATGAAGAGGAGCTGCTTACTGGCTTGTTTCCCATGGCTTGCTCAGTCTGCTTTCTTATAGAACCCAGGCCCAGCAGCCCAGGAATGGAACCACTAAACATGGGCTGAGGTCTTCCCCATTGGTCACTAATTGAGAAAAGCCTTACAGCTGGATGTCATGGAGGCCTTTCCTCAACTGAGGCTCCTTCCTCTCTGATGACTCAAGCTTGTGTCAAAAGGACACACAAACCAGTCAGTACAATGGGTAAGAAACAGTGTGTGCTTAGTCAGACAGAATGTATAATGCGCGTCACTTTAAAAATGAAATCACATTTTGTGGCTGAACAGAAACCAAACCACGCTGTCAAACTTAAGGCCACTAAACAGATACAAATGCACACAAACCTCTTTTAAGCTCTCTTTGCAGAGGGGACAATATGGCGTGTGGTCTAAACAGCGCTCAAGACAATTTTTACAGAATGAATGTCCACAAGGGGTTGTTACTGGCTCAAAAAACAACCTGAAATCGAAAAAAAGTACAAGTTAGCTTTCACGCTATGAGCCTTCACATTGGAAAAGCATCTGTTAATAATGGACTGCAACACAAATCTCTACTAGAGGAGGAGGGGGGCCAAGCTAGGGGGCAGGGGAGGAGGAAGAGGGCAATGCTAAGTATACTGGGCTCTCCTTAATCTTCTGACAGATCGTCATCAGCAGACGCATGCTCCGGGGGCCTAGAACTGTGCTGACTCCTGCGGTAACCACTAGATGGACACCAGTGGCCACCAAACACTTGAGTGTGGCCAATCCAAACTGAGCCTTGAAAGCAAACTCAAAGTAAAAGCAGAGGTCAAAGACAGCTCAAAAAAAAAAAAAAAATAAAGTATGCCATTGATGGTCATCAGATCTTTATACAGACTCATTAAAAATGGTCCTTCATAGTTTGGTAAAAAGTCTTGCTTCATAAAACAAGCTAAAAAAATGGTATTCTAAGCAAACAGTATGAAGACACCATGATGAACTCACTTTGCATAGTAACTTCAAATTTAATTTAGAGAAAAAAAGGACCTAGCTTAACATGGAGTAGGTATTTAAGCCCAATCTTTTTTCTTTTTTCTCCTAAAAAAAAAAAAAAAGATTTATTTATTTATTTATTTATTTATTTATTGTATATACAGTATCCTCCCTCAGGCCTATATGCCTGCATGCCTGAAAAGGGCTCCAGATGTCATTACAGATGGCTGTGAGTCACTATGTGGGTGCTGGGAATTGAACTCAGGACCTCTGGAAGAGCAGTGCTCTGACTTAACCTCTGAGCCATCTCTCCAGTACTAATCCCAATATTTTGATCCTAGCACTCTAGAAGATGAGGTAGGGCAATCATGAGTTCAAAGCCAGCACAGGCTACACAGCGAGCTCCTGCTTCACAAAAGGAAAACATAGTATGACTGAGGAAGCACCAAAATGTAGTATTAGATCTGACTCTCAGTACAGAAAAACTGTATTTACTCTATAATAATTTTCTAAAAGATAACTCTCTGGCTTTCCCAGTATATTACCAGATTTGGATATACTTTAGAAGTTATCTGGTGTAATCCTTGGATAAGGAAACCGAGGCTCGGAATGAAAAGACCCGCAGAGGAGCTTATAGATTCTTATGCTCAGCTTAGTATGGCCAGTCCCAGGCCTTGGACACAAAGTCCTTTTAAATCATTCTAATGGTCAGAATCGTAAATATTTACATAATGAAAATCTTATTCCATGCTATTTTAGAGAAGGACAATACATAAAATACATAATTTGTATTCTTACTCAAATTACATTACAATTTCCCACATCCTGTTCCTAGCTGACCCACCAGGCTCACCCCGCACTGCGGTACAGGCTGTGCAAAAATAACCTCATTGTCCAAACTTGGAGATCTGAGGTTTAGAGATCTTTTTCCTCAAAGATGTAAAAAGCTAAACCTAGGACTAAAATTCTACCTTCTGATCTTTAACCAACATCAGGACTTTATCTTACTCAACATTACCTTTATCTATACGACATTTCTATCAATATAGTCATCTTAAAAAATGTGATACACTTACCTCATACAGAGAGAACATTCAAAATCTGAGACATCTATTAATTCTTCTGGGATGTCACCATAAGCTAACGAAAACACACAGTCTTCACTGGGAGATTCTATTCAAAGAAACAGACAGGGTTTTACTACTTAGGGGAAAGGTTCAAAGGCCATTCTGAATCAGTACTTTACGGGGAGGAGAGCAGAAAGGAAGCCTTACCACCTTGCTTCTTAAGCTTGTTCCTCCCATCTTCATTAATAAGCATATCCTGCTCTAAGAGAGACAACTTCCTTTTCAGCAGAACACCTCTTCCCTGAGCGGACAGTAAAGGTTCCGAGGACACGCGCTTTAAACCATCTTCTCTGGCAGGCACTGCTGCGGTATTGATGGCTTGCGCTGACCGAGCACGATTTAAACTCCCTTTGACAGGCTCTGGGGCGTCCTCTGGCTGTTCTTCCGTCTACAGAACACAATAAACAAAGGTAACTCTCTTCATCGCCCTTTATTCTTCTTGCCCAGAAGAAACATGGAAGTGAGATCTTAACTCATTTAAGAAAACTTTTTAGTTCTAATACTGGGCAGGGAAATGACTTCTGTTAGTGTTTATGCGGCCTTAGACATCAAGCTGACTGACGTCACAGTGAGGCATAAGGCAGTGGTGCTAACGGAGACAGAGGCTCTGAGACGAGAATAAAATATTTATAGCCACCTGCGTCTTCTAAAACACTGTCTATTCTCTGACAGTTAAGTGACCTAAAGTGGTCGTCAAAGAGAAAACATTTTACATTCTAAGTCAATAGCTGCAGACAAGATCCTGTAGCTAGATAGGCAATACACACTTAAGCAGGTCTTAATGCTTGACTACGAGAAAGTGGGGTCTTAGCTGTAAGGAGGCTGGGGGTACAGACCAAACGGTCATTTTTTTCCACCCCTTACCTGCTTCAGGCTGAGCTCACCAGGAGAGTGAGGCTCTTCCACTACTGAAGGAAAACCAAAAGGTTTGTTTTTAATACACGGTAGGGAACTCCAGGAAGACTCCTTCAGGCCTTCCTTTAAGTTGTCGGGTGACAATAAGTCACACAAAATCTGTAAGAAATAATATAAAAGTATAACAGAAGACATATACTATCTGGTGAAGAATGACAACATAATTACCTATTCAAATTCTGGGAGGTGTTTGCAGCAGCCGGCATTATTTTTAGTGATCAGGGGAAAAAAATAAACATATTATAAAGTTTTTCAAACCAAGGTATGTCTCAGCAGGGATCATAGCACTTCAAGAAAAAAATGAGGGGGAGTCAAACTTTTGCAAGAAAGGAAGACATAAAGTGGCCTAGAAGGCACTCAAGGGAAAGGCTGACTTTTTACATAAGGATGATAAAGGGAAGGGATTTTATGAGAAGCAGAAACTAGTCTATCCGTGAGCCTGATGCCGTCAGGTAGACCGAGGTGTCCGCACTAGTGTGTTCTCAGGTTGGAGCTAGACTACTGTGGTGCTGTGTGACCCAAGGAACCTGGACTCAAGCACAAGATGCTAACGGTCCCCGTGTTTACAATGAACTTAGCCTGTCACTCACCAACTACCCATATGGCAGCCTGCCCATATGGGCACTTGCTTAGGAGCAAAGAGCTGCCCGGTGACAGCTAGGAGTTCAAGTGGAGCTGGCTGCAAGGCTGAAACTTCTGGGTGTTCAAGTGAGCAATAAATGCCAGTCACTCACATAAACAGGTTTATTAAGATGGAGGGAATGACTGGCTGAAAGAAAAAGGCATTTTAGAAAATATCATATTTCTATGTGCAACAGGGTTAGGTTTCTTGGGTGTACCATTGCTCAAACACACAGAATTTGGTTATCTACAAATCAGTGTAAGGAAATATACCCAGTGTGAATAGAGCTGGTGTAGGAGGTTCCTCTGTCTATGTGTTGCTTTCATTGGTTGAATAAAGAAACTACCTTGGCCTTTCGATAGGGCAGAACTTAGATAGGTGGAGTAGACAGAACTGAATGCTGGGAAGAAGGGCAGAGTAGCAGACACCATGGTTCTTCTGTTTGAGACGGACGCTGGTTAGACTTGTGCCGGTAAGCCACAGTCCAGTAGTGATATACATTAATGGAGATGGGTTAAACTAATATGTGAGAGTTAGCCAATAAGAGGCTAGAGATAATGGGCCAGACAGTGTTTAAATGAATACAGTATCAGTGTGGTTATTTCGGGTGTAAGTTAGCAGGGCAGCTAGGACGACAAGCAGCCTGCTCCTCATGTAACATAGAGCAAGTATTCAGTAGACGCTCAAACAATATCTACTTAATAGAAAGCCATCCAGGGCCTGGAGATGAAGCTCACTGGTAAGGAAGGAGCTCTCACGTGACATTCTCACACTCTCAGTGTGAGCCCTAATACTAAAAAACATCAATAAAAAACTATACACATACACATTTATAGTTCCTCTAAGTAAAAAAAAGAGAACACTAAACACACCTCCACCCCAGAGCTCAGCAGCTCCTCTCCCAGGTATTTGCAATGAAATGCTTTGAAACAGGAAAACAAACACCACGACCACCATGACCTCCAAAAGAGTACCACAGAAACAAAGCAAATGAGGATCACTGCCAGCTGACAACCGCAATCTGTGGTGTGTTCATGTAATGGGCCAAAAACACAAACTTCCCGCACAGAGTATGTAAGCACATGGAAACCCAGAGTATACATCCATGCCTCACACAAAATTCTAGAATAAGCAGAGTTCTCCTGTGGGGACAGAAATCCCAATGGCAGTTTCCTTGGGAGCATGAGGTGGGGGACTGACTGTTCTGGGATGCTGGGAAAGCCTGGACAGGGTCTGTCACACTGCTGTGTCCATTCCTAAACTCTCACTGACTGGACATTACCTACTTTGTATGCACAGTACTCCACAGTTTATAGACAGTCATTGTCAACAAGAAGGATGCCCACCAGCATGGAAGGTGCAAGGTTCAAGCTCCTTAAGTGTCTGTGGTCTCACCAGGAGCTAATGGCAACAGACGTGTGGTCAGAGGACAAAGTTTGTTAAGATGCTCGGCTAGAAGGTATGTGTACACCTTGCTGCTGGCTGGATTCTTGAGCAGAGGATCGAGAAAAAAAATCTCCAAATTCTCCTAGTTCAGGGCACAAAAAGCTCTCCAAACTGGCCTGTTAAACTATTTCCCCAGTTCCAGGGGTGCTGATTCTGTGAGATGGGGCTCAGGGCCCCTGTACTTGACACAGACCTAGGGATCGTTATGAAAGGCCACACTCCTAACACCACAAAGGACAAGCGACGTGGCATGTTTTGTGAGCACTGAGGTCATGTGGCTCGGACTCTAAATCAGGGGATTTTCTCAAAGAATTTTTCAAAGACCTCTTCTCATATGCTGTCCCAGTTTCACTAGAGCTAACTTTTTTTTTGCCTATTTTTTCCATGATGACATCTGTCTAACTTGGTTTGATCCGGTCTTCCCTCTGAAGTCATTTGATCACGGAATTCTCGTCTCTCATTCTCTACTCCTTCCAGTCCTCACTGTCTACTAAATCACAGCCATGTCAACCGTTACAGGGCAGTCTATGCAGAGATATGCCGAGTGCTGAGATAAACAAGGCAGAACAAGCTGAGGGGGCAACACGACCATAGGAGGAAAAAGGCCTGAGTGAAAGGCACAGGCAGGTCCTGAGAGTCCTGAGTGGGGGAGAATGGAAACGCTTTCCAACAGGGACTATAAGTTTGGTTCTGACTGGACAATTTTGGAGTATTTACAGAGAGATAGCTTGGGGATGGGACACAAGTCCATCAGTATTGTGTACGCACTGGCAGTAATTCTGTATCATGTTCTCAGTGCTCCTGTGCTTTGTGTTTAACTATGACTAATCGGTCACATGAGGTCAAGTGCGAACTTTTTCACACAAGGCACTTTCATCCTCAAAGCTTCAGGTGTTTGATTTCCACATTAGGAATGTTGAACCGACATTTGAAAGCATCTGTATTAAGTAAGCTAAGCTACTACACTGAAATATCTGTGAATGAAATTCGTTGGTTTCATCAAGAACTCAGTATCTGAAAAAAAAAAAAGAAAAAAAAATGGGGCTGGAGAGATGGCTCAGTGGTTAAGAGCATTGACTGCTCTTCCAAAGGTCCTGAGTTCAATTCCCAGCAACCACACGGTGGCTCACAACCATCTGTAATGAGGTCTGGTGCCCTCTTCTGGCCTGCAGACATACACACAGACAGAATATTGTATACATAATAAATAAATAAATAAATTAAAAAAAAAAAAAAAAAGAACTCAGTATCTGAAGATAAAACCGTGCTTGTCCCATTGCTCCTCAGATTAAATTCCTCCCTGAGTCCCTTGTCTCACTGTTTTATAAGGGGCCTGGAGGGTGCCAGCCTGGCTTAGACAGATGATTGGCAAGCGGACCGCATTACCTTTTCTACTTGTAGCTTTGCGGGTGCGAAGTCTTCATCAAGGGCTAAGCACTGGAGGAAGAGCTGTAAAGCATCACCCAGGAACCCCGCGTCCTGCAGAACCTTCCCCTTCCTGAAGTAGACCTTCAACAGAGCACAGGCACCAAACTTTATGCACAGAACTCTTGACCAAAACCACCCAGGAAACAAACAAGGGATTCTCAGACATATGGATTCTCCAACAGAGAAGGAAAAAGCATGGGAAAGCCTATGTGCTACTCCAAAGAAATGCTAGTGGGGAAACTGAGTGTGTGTGTGTGTGTGTGTGTGTGTGTGTGTTGTACACAGGTGCTCGAGGAGGCCAGAAAAGAGCATCTGAATCCCCAAGAACTAGAGTTAACAGGAGGTGTGAACTGCCTTCCATGGGTGCTGGAAACTACGGAATGCATCTTTCTCTTTAAGTCTGTCTTAAGAAAGTACTTATAGACACAGACTCATCAGAATCCTTGCTGTCTTACTTTTCTCCATTATATGAATTCAAGTCCTATTATAATAGGTGAATCCTAGAAACCACATAAATTCTGCAGAGATTCAGTGTGTGGGTTCTTCCAGGTAGCTTGGAAACATCTTATGTGGTCAGAAGGAAGAGATCTTATGAGCCATGAGATCATGAGATCATGAGAACTCAACAGCGTTTTAAAGGACCTAAATACTGTCCACATCCGTTCTTAGCTATCATTTCAATTGGTGAAGAAAATCACACTTCTTTTCAAAAAACAATTTTGGGTTATTTTATGTATATGGAATTCGGAATTAGTATGTGTGTAGCAGACACATGCCTGTGCCTATGGAAGCCAGAACTGAAGTTACAGAAAATTCTGAGCTGCCACATGGATTTTGGGAATTAAATCCAGGTCCTCTGGAAGAGCTGCCAGTGTTCTTAATCACTGAGCCATCTCTCCAGCATGAAAACTATACTTCTTATTACACCGTTTCAATGAAAATACCAGAGGGATCGTTCCTTTTAAGTCTTAACACTATTTGTCTTGTGCCAATGACCAGGAGAGCTGTGCCATTTTCCTCATTATTGTATGAGGGAATCCTTACTGCACTGTCCTCTGAGACAGTCTTGAGTACAGGGGGAACGTCATATAAAAGACAACTTCTAGCTCCAAAAAAAGGCAAATCAGGAAAATCGGTAAATGGATCACATCTTATATACCTCCCTCGGTCCTTCTAAAACCCACCCAGGCACAGGCAACTTGTATAAACTCACTGTCCAGTCGCCTCACTGCAACCCTCACCTCACAGCATCTCCTAGCGGCACGGACTATGCTCTTTCTATGACACACTCTTTCGGGGAGTCAAGCTTGAGTCCATCGAACAATACAGCAAGTTGAAATTTTTATTAAAAAATATGCATAATATTTGTCTGTGTCATGAATCGCTTGTAATTTACTTGAGAAAGAAAGGTTTCGAACTTTTTGGTTTTTTTTTAACAATCATTTTTTTTTTTCTGATAAGAAAATTGTCTTAAAATGCTTATCTCACCTAAATTTCTAGGAGGCTATATATTTCTTTCCAAAAATGATTTTCTTTTGTGAATATGTGGTCTTGTGTAGGCTGGTATGCACAGAGGCCAAAGGTCAACCTCTGGCACCCTTCAGGTGCCCCCTTGTGAGTCCCAGGGCTCTGCCTGTCTCTGCCTCCCTGGCACTTGGATTATTAACCTGTGCCAGGACACCTGGTTTTTACATATGGGTTCTGAGTTTATCAGGCCTTTAAGCTTGTCTGGCAAACACATCACTGACTTAGCTCCAAACTACATATTTCATCTGAGCCTAACTACCCACTGTGTTAAGACCCGTCGCTCTAACTGAAGTCCCTCAGAGCTGCCGCTTTGAAGCCCATGCAGATGTGAACAGTCGCTTTACCTCGGGCCAGTTGGGAAGCTGAAAGAGAACCGCGTTTAGATCCTCGATGGCCGCTTTGAATTCCTGGAGGCCAGCATAGGACTCTGCTCTGTAGATCTTGAGAGTCAGGTCGCTAGGCTCTGAAAGAAACAGTTCACAAGGATACGGTTATTTTAGAAAAATTACCATGTTAATCTGCAAAATATTATCATAAGAATGGCCAAGATAAGAAACACTGATGACAACTTATGATGGAGAGGATGTGGGGTAAAGGGAATATTTCTGCATTGCTGGTCGGAATGCAAGCTCAGCCCCTTTGGATGTCAGTGTGGCGATTCCTCAGAAAATTAGGAAACAACCTTCCTCCAGATCCAGTAATACCACTTTTGGGTACTGAGGACGCTCAATCAAGCTACAAGGACATGTGCTCAACTATGTTCATAGCAGCATTGATTGTCATAGCTAGAACCTGGAAACAACCTAAATGCCCCTCGACCGAAGAATGGATAAGGAAAATATGGTACATTTACACAATGGGGTACTATACAGCAGAAAAAAAAAAAACGACATCTTGAATTTTGCAGGCAAATGGATAAAGCTAGAAAACTAGAAAATCATTTTGAGTGAGGTAACCCAGACCCAGAAAGACAAGTATCATATATACTCACTCATAAGTGTTTTTTAAACACAAAGCAAAGAAAACCAGCCCACAATCACAATCCCAGAGAACCTAGACAACAATGAAGACCCTAAAGGAGACATACATGGGAAATAGAAAAAGACAAGATCTCCTGAGTAAATTGGGAGCATGGGGACCTAGGGAGAGGGTTGAAGGGGAGGGGAGAGGCAGGGAGGGGAGCAGAGAAATATGTAGAGCTCAATAAAAATCAATAAAAAGAAAAAGAGGAAACAGTTAGTGATTCCTAAACCAATAACTACCAAATTAAAGTTTATAAACCAAGTATAGCACTCTTGCAACACACTTCTTATGTCAAAAGTTGAGCAGAAGTCTTATCATAAGATTATTTTAGTGGCGAGAACTATAATTAGGAATACTGAGAATGTTTTTGTGAAAAAAAAAGCTACTTGTAAGAAGACTACTTTTAACTGACAGTTCTTTAATCCCAGCACCTGGGAGGCAGAGGCAGGCGGATATCTGTGAGTTCAAGGCCAGCCTGTTATACAAAGGGAATCCACGACAGCCAGGACTTTTACATAAGAAAACCTTGTCCCAAGAAACCAAAAAGAAAGAAATCTACTTTTTCCCAAAAACAGTACCCTCTAAAGATTTTTAAGTCATGACTTACCCGTTTAGAAAACTTGCCTTTTTTGAGACTTTATCAATTAAAATAGAACTATATTCTTCACCCCCGAAACTTTAATTTGTACATTACTGTTTATAAAAACAAACAAAACCACTTCAGAAGGAAGTTCCACAAGCATGGGGAAGTGACCAAGGTTTGTCTTACGAGGGTGTAAGTGTCTCGATCCTAACGGGAACGGACTGAAAGAATTAGGATGCGGTCAAATCCTTCATTCCCAGGCACAGCAGGACTCGTACCTAAATACACACATCTAGTCTCGGAGCTCCTGGAAGGCGCCCCCCCCCCCCCGTTACCTTCACTGTCCTCTATGTGTGTGCCTGAGAAGTCAAACTCTTATCGCATGGCCTTAGAAGTCAGCCACTTAGCTATCCTCTTCTACTACTGTAACTAAGTACTGCAGGTAGACAAACATTGTCAGCTGAAATCTAACCAAAAATTTGATAAATTATTGATGAGGTTCAGCTGAATCTTCTTTTAAACCTATTCATTTTGAGCCTTCAAAACCTTAGGTTAATAAAATAAAAAAAAATTGTGGCGAAAAGGACACAATGTCTCTTAATGCCTCCGAAATTACATTTAATAAAACGCAACAGCCCGCTCCTGGTTTACTCTAGTTTTAAGTCAATGTTTCCTACAGACAGCCCCCACTTGAACCACTCAATTAGGCACTTGTAAGTTTCTGCAGCAGGCTTGAGAACTGCATTGATATTGTTCCCTCAATTCTACATCAGTGAAAAACTTTGATTTAATATTTCATGAGAAATACTTCCTAAATGAAAAGACATGGTAGCTGTGCATATGAGCTCACAATGGTGGTGACAGCACGCACAAGCCCCATATATCCTCAAGCCTGAGCCAAGCCAGCACGGAGAGAGGAGGTGGCCAGGAAGTCCCGCCCCAGCGGAGGATGAGTTTGGCAACTGCTGGCTGCTGGCAGACAAGAACCCATTTTAACACTGCTGCTAATGGTAAGCCAACCATGTTCCAGTGTAAGGTCACACATCCATGACTCCATGCGCCATACAATGGCATTTGGTGGGTGGAAGAAGAAAAAGGGACTCAAAAGAGGGAGAGAAGGGGATCTGGGAGGAGTTGGGAGCGGGGGTGACTATGACCCAAACTCGGGGCATGCAATTCTGAAAGACCTGAGAAAAAGTACTTTGAAAAAGACATGACAAAAATTCCATGTTTCCTCTTAGAGCAATAACTTAAAACAGATTTCTGAACAAAACTGTGCAGAAATTTAAGAAGCCCAGTGATGAACCAACCAAGAACTAGAGAGGTCCTAGCACCGTTTGAATCTGTGAGCGCCCAAGCTCTGTTACACTCCACCTGCCCCTGGGCACCTTACAGCCTAAAGAGGAAGCAGACCAGCAGCACTGACTGTGTGGCCATCACCGCCCGGGAGCGAGTAGCAAAGTCTCAGCATCCAGGAAGAGGGATTTTCATCATAGCTCAGGGGTTTAAAGCTGCCTCAGCGGGCAGAGACCCACCTAGAGGAGTTTACAGCGGATGCACAGCCTACTCCATCTTTGGACCCCTTGGTGGGCTTCTTCTACTTACACATGTTTACAGCAAGTTATCACATGCTAGGCACATGGTACACACTCAGATCTTTCCATCCACCTGCTAGGACTGGAATGTGAAGAGGCTTCCTCCTGCTCCCATGAGCACTTGGTTTCCAGCTGCTGGCAGTTTGGGGAAGCTGGCAAGGGTTTTGCACATGGGGTCCAGATGGTAGATACTATTGGAACACGAGAGTGGGGCTAGAGGGGTATAAGCTAGCCTGTTTCTAGTCAGACATGGTTCTGGTTGGTGTCGTGTATAGTGCGGTCAGCCCTAGTTTGCCACCACCATGAAGCCACCCAGTGCCAGGCCCTCCTAGTTACCACATAAACAAACGCCATTATAAAACAAGAGCAGAAGCTGTCCTCACTCTGACAAAAGTGGAAAAGGAACCATATCTCCCCTACAAACACTCAGTTGCTTAAGCCCCCAAACCCAGCCCTAAGAAGCAGGTGTACTTTGAATAAGAGAGGAGGTTTACTCTAAGAGAGGAGCGCAGAATTTAAAACACTGCCCAGCTCCCTGTAGGTCAAATGTTAACGGAATAATTAAATGACTCGAGCAGCGTGGCCAGTGAGTTTACACTTCCATCACTTCTGAAGAGAGCGGGCCCACCCCACTTGCTCACGTCCCATACTCAATTCTACAAGGGAGCCAAGCACACCACTTCAGGCCCTTTGGATACTCAAACACACAGAATGTTCACTCTCCAGATAAACTTTCAAGAAAGCCAACCGAAAATAGCAATCTGCACCGCTGTGCCATCAACCCGAGTCTGAAAGCCATGATGATCCACCCGCTCTCTGCACTTGAGCACACCCGTGTAAACAAAGGGCTTTATCACCTGTGACATCACAGAAGCACCTTAGTCCACGACTGCAGGGCCCACGGCCCCGAGCACACGCCTGGGACGCTATGTATACACTCTGTTCAACAGTGAGGCATTGGGATGGCATGGTTCAGACTAACCATACTGAGGGCAACTGCTGTGGCTCTTACAGCCTGGCACGGTGTCGCACACCTGTTGCCTCAACATCTGGGAGTCTGGAACCCTGAATTAGAGGCTAGCCTGGTCTACCTGTGAAATTCTAGGGCTACATAGTGAGACCTGGCCAAAAATAAATAAATAAAACACTGCGGTGGTCCTGAACTCTGACATAACCTAGCTGCTTCCTGTCACCAGGACCAGGCACGGATCTAGTCTTTGCCGTTATCTACCTCTAGGGTCTGTGCCCCCAGTCTAACTTCACAATTGTATTTCTGTCCACCTGCTATAGCTATCCTCAAATGAGCTTGCTCGCCATCAAAAAGTTCTCTCACAGCCGGGCGGTGGTGGCACACGCCTTTAATCCCAGCACTCGGGAGGCAGAGGCGGGCGGATCTTTGTGAGTTCGAGGCCAGCCTGGAACTACAAGAGCTAGTTCCAGAACAGGCACCAAAGCTACAGAGAAACCCTGTCTCGAAAAACCAAAGTGATACTGGTGATACCGCCGACTTGCCAAATCAAAGCTATCCTCAGCGTTGCCAACTCTCTTCTCTTTTCCAATTCTGCCTGTAGACCTAAGTTAGGCTTCTAGACTCTCTTCAGTGCTATTACAAAAGCCAGCTCTCTCCTGCCACTAGGTTCACCCTGTCCTCACCATCCACTAGACAGAGGTGTTGTGGCTCTGCCTCTTGCGGCCTTTCTTCTTCGCCCCTCCCCCATTTCAATTTCCAATAGAGAGGACTGCTCTGGGGATGACACTCTCTGTCCTGACTCCTCCCTTTGCTCAGCCTTCCTTCCTTGTCATTCTATCCCTTACGGAGCCTCTTCTTCAGATGACTTTTCCATCCAACATGACTCAGCTCCAACCTCCTCCCAGGGTGCTTCCCACTGGAGTCTGCCTTGGTACAGAATACCATTAGGACTGGCCCCTACTCGCTGTCATCTGGGGCAAATGACAAATATCCTTTACTTCATTACCTGTGACTGAGCTTTTAAAACTTAAAAATACAATTGTGTGCATTAGAACAGGTGTATACATGTTACAGCACCTATGTGAAGGTCAGAGGACAAGCGCAAACATCAAGTTCTCAGCTTCTTCCTACAGAGAGGGTTCCTCTTGTTCCTTGTTGTAGGTGCCAGGCTGCCTGGCCACTCAGCTTCCTAAGGTTTTCGTTTTTGCCTCTTATCCCACTATAGAAACGCTAGGATTACAGACACATGGTGCTGCATCCAGCTTTACCTGAGTCTTCCACTAGAGATTCCAACTCAAGCCCTCACGCCTGCATTGCACCCAGTGAGACATCGCGCCTCCACTGAAATGCATTTTTATGAGACTGGACCTGGGGGCTCAGGTCTGTATTATCGGCTACTAGGGAAACAGAACCAAGACGATCTCAAATTCAAGGCCTGCCTAGGTAACTTAGTGAGGTCTGTCAAAATAAAAAGTGAAGAGGGCTGGAGGCAAACCTTGGTGCTGTAGGACGCGCCCAGCACGCATGAGACCCTAGTTGTAATGTCGCTTGCCCAGGCTGGGAATGACAGACTCAAGACTCTCAACCCAGCGTTCTTGCCATTTACCTCTATGCTGTTAGTAAAGAGAAATTAGCACAGGACTGACGCGTGGAAGACGTGGCGTGCTACACTGCTTGCGGTCCTCCACTGTACATGCCCAGCATTTGAAAGCAGTTCCATTTGGAGATAAGTGCTCTCTCTATCACTTTTACTCTGTGTCCTGAGAACCAGCCCGACAGTGCTTTGTGACCTACGGGAAACACTAAGACCTGACCCATTTGAACTCCTCAGTCGAGTTCTCACTTCCTCTTGCACTTGGTACTGTCGTCATCAGACAGCTAAACTCTGCTGCACAGCTAAAGAAACTAGGCGAGCTGCCCACGCACAACATGGGCTGAAGGATTTCTCTAGCCATGGTTCCCCATTGTTGTGTCTCTCTTTGGGGACCCACAACATTAGCAGGAATCTTACAGTTGTTTCTTTAATTCATCTTAAAGATTTTTTTTGCCATTTTTTGCCATAGTGCAAAAGTTCTAAAATGCAGACTGAGAAATTGAAAAATAAAGAAAACTAGGAATTAAGCTAGGAGGGCAGTGCGTGTTATTGACTTCAGCATGTTGGGAGGTTGAGGCAAAATGGGGAACTTGAGGTCAGCCTGTACTAAATGAGTTCAAGGTTAGCCTACATGATACAGAAACTACCTCAACACACACACACACACACACACACACACACACACACACAATCACTTCACTTCCCATCACCTCTAAATAACCATCAAAACAAAACTAAGGTGCACTGGCTGCAAGCTTCATCCCAAGAAAGAAGAGCAAGGTGGGGTAGAGGCGGCAGTGGGGGCAGGTGGTACTCTGGGAAGCCAGGAAACTAGTGACCTAGTGACAGACAAGTTCCTCTTTCAGCTGTCCCAGCAGCACTCACATGCCTCCATCATCACCTTTAACTCAGCTATTCTCTCCTCCTGGAAACAGATGAAGGGTTCTAAGCAGTCACATGGTAGGAATTTGAAAATCCACACGTGCACCGGCCAGGATTCTCACCATCAGCTCAGTCACATTGTTTTCAGGTTAATCAGTCCTCAAATTCCCCATGGTGCCAAATATACCTCCATCACAGCACTGCCAGATACACCACCATCACAGCATGGCCAGGTACACCACCGTCACAGCACGGCCAGGTACACCTCTGTCACAGCACGGCCAGGTACACCACCGTCACAGCACGGCCAGTTATACCACCGTCACAGCACGGCCAGGTACACCACCATCACAGCACGGCCAGTTACACCACCGTCACAGCACGGCCAGGTACACCTCCGTCACAGCACGGCCAGGTACACCACTGTCACACTATGACCAGGTACACCTCCGTCACAGCACGGCCAGTTACACCACCGTCACAGCATGGCCAGGGAGACTTCTCATCCTTCCTAGGAGACAGGCAAGTCAGCTGTGACCCGATCATGTATTACACTAAGCATGAGTCTATATGGAGGCAGAGATGGTCTCTTCCATGAAGATAGGAGTCACAATGACGGAAACCATATAGAGACTAGTAGAGACAGAGTGTCTGCCACCTCAGGGTGTGTGTCAAAAACCAGCAACATTGTTAAACGGCCATTTCAGGCTCTGTGACTAAATTGGTCTGAATTATTTTTGAAAATCTATAAAGAGTAGCTTTACAAATTGCCATGTTTCTTTATACAAATTTTAAAACCCACATCTAGTTTCATACAGAAATGAGAACTGTGGTTCCAGTTTAATTACACTGATAACCTCTCAATACTGAAATATGTCCATCCACCCATCTACCCATCCATCCATCCACCTATCCATTCATCTATCCACCCAACCATCCACCCACCCACCCACCAACCATCCACCCATT